GCTGATAAGAGCAGACAGCACTAGCACCGGTGGAGAGGCTCCATCTATTGGTGGGGAGCGCCACCGGCTGGAAATCGGGTCCAGCGTCCCATTGCATGAAGAGAATAGATTTGAAAAAAATTCTGGAACCAATGACTGTAGGACCTGCCAGCATTGATTGCCCTGCAAAAAACAGGGGATTGACTGAGCAGGGCCATAGGTGCTTGTGAGGCCCGAAAACCAAAAGGGCCGCCTTGACTGGGGCAGCCCTGGTGTAGACCTTGGGATGCTGCTGTTATCTTTGTATCTCTTCACCCTCCAAGGGAGGGCGCCAGATAGGAAATTCGGGACTGATACTGTGAACCAGCTGCTGCTTTTGCTTGAATCCGCAACCGTCGTCTGAACTTGTAGTAACCTTGTCCTGGACGAACCCTYCAGCACCCATAGTTGGGTGTGCCRACTGTCGCCGCCGACTTGCTGACTGTCCCTGTTGTCTGCTTCCGAGGAYGCTCAGAGGACGATAGCAGGTGTGATGARCAAGCGGGATCCTCCCCAGGRGGCTCCAGGGAGGGGTTCCTCGCRTGGCYAGGGACGAGTGGGTGGGGAACCATGGGGGAGGCGCGTGTCAGGTGGGCGGGGAAGGACAGGGTATCGTTTGTCACTCAGGCCAGGATCTCTGCCAGTGACAGGGCGTGGGGGGGGAARGGGTCCGGGAAGTCCGTGGGGGGGCGTAATGGGAACGAGGCCTCAATGTTAGTCCAATCCTTGAAAACCAGCCTGTAGTCCCTCATTTCTTCTAAGTGCTTTGACCCATCCTCTTSATYCCCGCCCCATACTACTTTTGCAATCCATCCTTCCCTTTCCYCCCCTACCCAGTCCTTGCAGAACTCCGTTATTCTTCTCCCGACATCTCTTGTTTGTTTAAAAAGATCCAGTTGTTCTTTTGCATCTAACCACCTGCGTGTGAGGTCTAGGCGTATTTGCTGCTGGATTTGTTCTGTAATCTCCGCGCCTTCTACCCGCACTTTTTCCATGGTTAGAGTGCATCTTTGCCACCAAAGTGCCCACATCACTGTTCTCCTTCCTATTCTATACATGTTTTCGGTGAAGGACGTGGCAGTCTCTGTTTGAGGCCAGTGTCCAGTCAGGATGGCTTGCCATGACCAAGGCCAGGGGATATCTGGTTCCATCTTCCGCCAGACACGGTCCCACCATCTCCATATGAACTGGGCGATCGGACACTGCATGAAGATGTGTTCAATGGTTTCTGCCTTCTTGTGGAAGGGGAAGAGGCTCTGGCAACGTTGGCACCATGGGAGCAGCAGGCCTCTTTGTTCGAGGTTTGTTCGGTCAATCAACCAATCGTATGTCGGCAGGCAGCGATGAGCTATCTGCCATTCCAGCGAGGTAATTTTCATTGGCTTGTGCTTTTGTTCCTTGAACCATTAAATTGGTGTCAGGAGAGAGCGGTCAAGATTCAAATGTTTGGCCCATCTATCATTAATAATATCCCTCAGGTGGCGTTTGGGTCGAAGCAGTTTATAGGCTGATTTGACCGTTAGGAGGTACAGGCTAATGTGGCTCCCTCCGGGGGTGCCCCTCCATCGGGGAAGCTGCCATGCCCATTCTGCCGGGTCGAAGGCTAAGTCCTGGATGGGTTTATCTGGCTGGAAGGCCACCTTCTGTCCCTTTTCTTCTAGGACTCTCACTCTGTTGGCCGTTGTTTTGCTCTCCCATACAAACGGTGCCTCCATTGATTGGAGGGTATGTTCTTGTGTGATGGTGTGGTGTTCGATCAGGATCATTTGGGGGGAAACCATATGGATCAATCCAATCCGGTGTGGGGTTCCTACAATCGTCACCCAATCCCCTTCTAYTAGAGTGGGGCCTCTTTTGAGGATCCTATACCATTCCAATGGGATGGTTTCAATGAGGTTTTCCAGGGATTCCTCGACCCGATGGCAGTACCTTAAGATGTCCCGCATTTGGTCTCCCGTCTTCCATGTTTGTCTGTCAGTGTCCCAGAGGTCTCCAATCCTAAGAATTTCATGTTTGACCCAGTTTTTCCATGGCGGGGCTGAACTTATCCTCACACGACCCTCTGTATCTGTTATCCAYCTGTTGCCAAAGAGGGGCTGGCGGTATACCTCCTCCCATCGAGCAGGTGGGGTCCTGTGTGGAAGCGGGAGACTACGCCAGGTTCGCAGCAGGGATGGCCAGAAGTTGTCCAATAGCTGGCCCCCTCCTTCTTCTGCTCCCTCCCTTCCGTCCGGGAGTTTACGTGGGATTGTCCAAAAGCGATCGTCCAACCAAGTGAGTGGGTGGATTGCACGGGGGGCTGCTGGGGCTATCCGGGCCAAATGTTCCAGGGCCAAGGCACACCATGGGCTCTGGGGGGAAAAGATAAGTTTCTTGATCCATTTGATTCGCAGGGCTTGTACCTGCGTGGCCGGGTCAAAAACCCCTAAGCCTCCTCCCACCTTTGGTTGGATAATGGAATCCCATGCCACTCGGCTGATGACATTGGCTTGCTCTCCATCTCCCCTCCACAGAAATGCTGCAGCTTTTTGCCTTAGAGCCTTCAAGGCTGCTTTGCTTAAGGGCCATAGCAGGGACTTATACCATAGTGATGCGAAGACAACATTGTTGAGAACTAAGGCCCGACCGAAGAGCGACGTGTGTTTGTTTTTCCAATTATTTAATTTGTGCTGCGTCGGGGTACTGATCCATTCATCATTGATAAGTGGCTTTCCTTCCACGGTCATAGATACCCCCAAGATTCTTATTGGTGCCTCCAGTGGCACCCAGGTAATGCGCGGGGCCTCTGGGGGACGTCCTCCTTGGTGGTGGATCCACCATCCTTGTGTTTTGGCTCCCCAATTGACCGACATATCTGAAACCTTAGCAAATTTTTCCATCATATGTTGAATTTCCTCCATGTTGCAGTGTGTGGCTGCTGCAATGATTGTTAGATCGTCCGCAAAAAGGGAGCACACCGAGACCGCTTCCTCCGGGATTCGTGTAACTCGTAGTTTAGTGATGTTTTTGTTCGCCCTAAGATTAGCGGCCAGTGCTTCCATTATGACTAGGAACAAGAAAGGGGCAATAGGGTCCCCTTGTCTGACTGATTGTTCCAGGCGCAGAGGTGGTGCAAGACTCTCGTTGACCTGGACACATGTGGTGGCATTTTAATGCAGGATTTGTATCCAACGTCTGAAGTCTGGCCCAAAGTTCATTTTGTCGAGGCAGTTGTCTAAAAACGTCCAGTCCACATGGTCATAAGCCTTTTCGAAGTCAATAAATATGAGAGCCGCATTAAGACGAGAGTGCTTCGTGAGTTGGAGGACCTCATGTATTAGTAGGATATTCTCTTGAATGTTCCTGTTCTGCATGAAGCCGGTTTGATCCGGATGGATGATGTCCTCCATTACCGGGATCATTCTATTTGCCAAGGCCTTTGACAACATTTTATAGACCACTGTAAGCAATGTTATGGGTCGATAATTCCTAATGTCCATTTTATCTCCCTTTTTGTACAGGAGGGTTAGTATCCCTTGCCCCACCCTTTCTCCCATTTCTCCTGTGAGCCAGACTTCACTGTAGAAATCCATAATGTCCTGGCTCATGAATTCCCAGGTGGTTTCCCAAAATTCCATGGGAAAGCCATCTATCCCGGGGGCCTTATCCTCCTTCATTTGTAGAAGAGCGGACCATATTTCCTCCTTGGAAAGCGGGSCTTCTAGTGCTTSYYGTTGTTCAGTCGTTAAAGTCTTGCTGAGTGGTTCCARGAATTCCTGGATTAGGCGGTTGTGATGTGGGGGGTCTGACTTGTCCAGGTGTGAGGAGAAGAGCTCCTTATAGAAATCGTAAGTGATCTTCGTGCAGCGGGYTGTGGACACAGCCGGGTCCGTATCCCCGGCATTTGGTTCATATAGAGCCTCGATTGTGGTTCGTTGGCAGCGCATTCTAGCCAAGCCAAAAAAATGAGAGTCCATTACCCCTTCCGTGGAGGATCTAGATAGCCTGACCCTTATTTGGCCATCTTGCCATCTATATTGTGCGTGTTGAAAAAGTTGGTCTTTTAAAAATGCACTTCAGGCAATCTCGCAAACACAACACACCCCCACGTGAAGCCCACCAGACCCTAAAACCTAGGTTATATATACACTCACCATCACCGGCCCTTTTGCCTCAACTCAAGTGCATTTTCAAACTCAAACCCTGACTGCACCGTCATTTTCTCCAAAAAAAAAATCAACCACATTTCTCTCTCAAGGGTATCGCTGAATCAGGGTGATGTGGTGAGCCCTCGACTCCTTATCCATCAGTCAAATGCATCCTGGGCAGACCGTCTGTCCAGGTTCAGCCTCTTTCTTATGAGTCGGACAAAGTCCAACAAAACAATCTGGCACAGTCATGCCTTTTTTGTGGAGTTGTGTGAAGCGAATATGACAATAGTATGAGTGCATGCCCATGGGACATGGGACACATCGAACATGACAATACATAGCACACGGGACAGGATGTGGTATCTCAGTTGCTTAGAACTCAGGCCCTCTGCACACCACTGCCCGCCCCTCTAGCGATGGCATCCGCGCTTATTAGAAAGCGCCCTGCCTCTTTAATTGCATTTGTCAAACTTGCGGCGTGACCGACCTGCTGGTACGTGTTTTTTTTTCCCTATTCAAATCTCATTTTTGTTTGAGATGTAGTTGGCTCTATTTTCTATCTATTTGTTTGTCTGGAAGCTCCGCATGCTGGTTAACGCTGCAGGAGTTCTCTCCTCCAATCCGAGTTCAGTCTCTCCTTCACCCCCGGCCCCTCCCCCCTCCCTCCTCCCTCCCCCAATAATCCCCCGGTACTGAAGGAGCTGATATCTCCAATGGTATGAGCACTGCGAGATATTACCCCCTCTTCTTGAGCTGGCTCCTTTCTATTGGTGGGAAGCTGCACCTGCTGGAAAAGGGGTCCACTGGTCCAGCATCCCTTACAAATTGCATTGAAAATACATCACTGAAGTTTGATAATCATTTAAAATAGGAGTTCAGTCTCTCCTCAGTTGATAAGAATCTACTAGATCAATCGATCAATCCATCGATCAATTAATCGATCCACCAATCAATCATAGCCATGCAGGCAGTAGAACATGATGAGATCCCAGTATAGAAGGCAGCCACAAACATGTTGCCAAAAAAACCTGCCAACAACAGCATAATAATCAGTTCACCTGCAGGAAAGAGCACAGACGAGGTGAACCACAGCCCGGTTCTCGGGTGGTACAGTCACACCAAGCTCGTTAGCTGGCCCTTGTTCGTGTCCCTCAAAGCAAGTCAGGTCAGGTCAGGTAGACATCAAGCAAGATGTAGGTGTTTTTACTCACATGAATCTGTACGGCAGCCACCCTGTTTACGAAAGCACTGTTAAATACCGAAAAAGTGCTCCACACCCTCTCCCTCCCAGGACCATCACCCTGCAGAGATTGAACAAGTACCAAAGGTGTGATCATGAAGTTAGTCATTGGTGAAACGGGGAAAGGAGAAAGGTGAGTTCATATGCTACCCTGAAATGCTTTGGAGAATATGACATATGTGTTCAAGGACATCCAAGAAATTCCACTTTGCTGTTATGCTATCAATTCAATCCCCATTGCCACATCTTTAATCTAATACGTTCCAATTTCAGATATATATCCACACACACACACACACACGCACACACACACACACACACACACACACACACACACACAGAGAGAGAGAGAGAGAGAGAGAGAGAGAGAGAGAGAG